GACCCCCAGTCTTTATCAACACTAGAGCGTTGTCCCACTGGTGCAAGCCCAGTAACAGCCCCATCCCCCTTCGAATCTAGTTTAAAGCTCTCTCAATGAGCCCTGCTAGCTCCTGCGCTAGGATTCGTTTCCCCCTATGAGAAAGACTCTGAAGTCTTTGAGTACCACAAAGATGGTCTCCCATGACTTTGAAATCATAAACTAAGAGGAAACAGGGTGCCTGCCTGCAGCCTTAATGCAGTGTGCGTTTCTCTGGAATTACAGGGCTAGAAACTTACCTGTTGAAAATAAAGTTATACTTCCCATCTGCTCCTCATATGGGATCACTCAGTAGAGACTTACAAAATGCAAATATTGTACAACTGAACATGAAAAGTTAAGACTTGGCAAAACTGCCTTCTACGAACACACACATGCATGGAGATTGACGACAATGTGAAGTGATAAGGTTAGCCAAAATGAGCGTATTGTACCTGTACTTAGGATGGTTGCATAACAGAGGGGTCAGTATAACCACTTCATATTCACAGGTTGTAACTTCTGCTACCGAAAGAATCTCGTGTTTAGCTTCTGGATGACAGATGTACATCATCGTACTTGATCTGGGTAGGTTTTGTCTCAAGCTACAAGGTGTACCGTTTCCCATTTCTACAGGGTAGTATGGGGTCATCTGCCCTTCTATATTTTTTGTAGGTATCTAGGTGAAAGAAAGCAGAAGTTAAGAATCACAGTAAAGCTCCTTCGACTCTTCTGAAATAAAAAACACTAATCATACAGAGCCAGCATTACTGCATTGAAACCAGCCCCTGGGTAGTTACTTGGTGTTTCTGCAGCATCCAAACATATTCTGGTTTACTGCCTCCAGCACAGCCCTGCACAAATGCACTGAGCCACTTGAGCTCTCACTGCAAAAGCAGCTGGTTTCTCTGCACAGGTGCAGGCTGCCTGATGTTTCAGTCCTAAGAAAGCTTGCCAGCTGGGTGCAATATTTTGGAAAAGCACCAAGCCAGCTCTGTTCACCCTGTAGTCTAGGAGATGGGGAGATGCAAGTACCTCTGCCAGGCTCAGCTCAGGTCTGGCCAGGCACATTACCTTCGCTTCAGTGCCAGGCCACAAGGAATCTAATAACACCCCTGCAAAGTCACCCCTATACCTGCACTGCACCTCTCGGCACACCCAGCCTGGGTTGTTCCTTATCCCAAGTATCCCACGCTACCTGTTACTGTGGCTAACAAAGTTAATGATATCTACAAAGTAAATCCCACTTTTGTACATACTTAAAGCAAGTTCTCTTCAGACTTGTTCCTTCATGTTTCATCCAGCTTCCACTCTAAGAAATTAATTCCCCAAACTAGTAAAAGCCTCTCTCCCGACTCCTATCTTGGAAGCAGCTGAAGTTCCTGGGTACCAAAAGTTCTGTTTGTGTGCTGGAACCCACAAACCAGAACTTTTTCTACCTGTGTTGCTTGAGCTAGTAAAGGTTTCAGTGCACAACAACCCAGGCTCTGAGCTAAAAAGGCGGTGGTGCCTTCTATGGTCAGGACACTCACCCAGGGATCTGGGACCCTTCTCTCTCCGCCCTACTTTGGTTTTCAAACCATATTACCCTGTTGCAGGCCACTGACTCCTTCCTCCCGAAACCTGTTGCATCACAAATGAAGCAATGAAATATTAATGAGGTTAAAGAATGAACATGCCAGCAGCTTAATTGCTCAGGTGCTCTTTGGCTTCCAGTCACACATCTACTCTATACTTCAATATTCAGTCAAAGCTGGGAAGTGAAGATGTATTCTGGTTGCGTACAAAAGAGCCAACAACAAGGGTACCAGTACCTTCCCTTTCTATCTTTCTGAATGAATCACTGACTATTCCATAAAAATTGAAAAAATATGCTTATGCATTTCATTGAAGGTAACTTCTCAAGAAATCTAAATGGAGATAGCTGTTGTTTGCATACAACTGAAAGGCACCGCAGGACTTCAGATAAATCTCTGGTCGCAGCAGGTTTTGGTTACTTTAGGCATCACCCAGCTGTGTTACATATTGTTTCCCTTTCACAACTAGAGATTTCACACAAATTGCAAATCTAAATTCTTTATGGACTAAGACAGTGAAGGCACGTAATAAAAAACTGTTAAAAAAAAAAGTCAGTTAAAGACTTAACATCCTCTGAAATAAATAAAAAAAAAAGTTACACTACAAAGAAGCTAGTTTTCTTTAATTTCCAAAAGGCAAAACTGCCACTGCCATTAGAATGGGCCACATTCTGACTTGGGTCTGCTCCCCCAACTGCCTCCAAAATACTTCTCAGGCACGTATATTTTCAGAGACCCACTGCAGAAGAACGGCTCTGTGCTATTGAACTCAGCATTACAAAGAACATGTAGACAAAAATTTCATTCCAGAATTAAAAGGAAGGATAACTGGAAATAAGGTAGGCGCATGTCTGTGCACAGGCCAAATCTGCTATTGCTAATTCCAAACTCCAACATGCTTCAGGTACTTACATTGTTTTGCTATGAAGTTAGTAACTCAGAACTGAGTTTTGGGGCCTAAACAAATGGAGAAGTTCTCTAACGGAAAAGGGAAGCACAGGGTTTTATGGGATAGGTCATCAAGTCAGCTAAGAAATCTGTAAGGGATTTTGTGCTGTAGGATTCTGTTAAGCGTTTCTCCCTACCCAAAATGCATGCAAGTCTCATTAAGGGAATTGGAATCTCTAATGGAGCTGGAAAAACGACTCTCGCTAGACCATAATGCGACTTTGTGGTTATGTGTATTGACTTCATAAGTATATCATTAATCTCACTTAAGCTTAGCATAACTTTAATGCAAATAAGTAGAAGGGCAAGAAATTTGACTGGCTAGACTAAAAAAAAGCTTTCTGAGCTAGGACTGATAATCAAAAGAGAGAAAGTGAAGCTCAGGAACAGAGTTTCATTTTTTTATGCTCATTTTTATAGGGAACTAATTACATAATCTCATAATATATAAATTGCCTCCACTATTGATGGCAAAAGTTAAAACAGATGTTTTTCACTTGCCTCTTTTGCACTCTCTTTTGGATTTTCCTTCTCTTCTTGATCTAGGGAATAATTAAGAACGAGGTAAGCATAAAGTCTGTGAACTTGAAATAAAATGAAATTACATACAGAGAAGTTTGTATGTTTTACGTATTTGCTAATACTTTGTGCATACACTGCAAAGTGTCAATTTCATGAACTTGCAGGTGCAAAAGAGGAAAGAAAGGCAATAAACAGCAATCTGGGGTCCAGAGCAAAGGATGAGTTGCATGTCTTAAAACAATTTTGAGTTTGTAGGACAGGCCAAATCCAGCCCTAGCACCACAGGAAGGCCAGTCAGGGCAGGAGAATGTGTCACTACTGCTGTTCTGCGAGGCGTTGCTGACTACCCTTTTCAAAGTGAGGGAATTTCAGGCTGGGAAAGTAAACAGGCAAGTACTTCAGCCTACCCACTAGCCAGCCTCAGAGGATATGCTTGTTGTAGGAAGAGGTGAGGTCAGACTGCATGCCACACTAAGGATCACAAGAGTAAAGCTTCTTATGGCGCAGGGGTGAGAGCTACCCATAGGCTCTGAAAAGCTTCAGGAGACAGTCTGGACTCCACTCAGTATTAGGGGAGCAAAAGGCCACCCTGCTTTGCTGTCACCCATTCAGCTGTTCCAGGTTTACCGTACCACCCTTGCAGATTCAGCTCACAGTGGTTTAAGAAACCATCTACGTTATTTTTTAAGAGAAGCAGCGTGAATTGCTGCATAGAAAGGATACAGCCTGCTACCTAAGTGGAAAGGACAGAGGGTCAAGATATGGCAAAGACTCAGATATGATGATTTGAAGTATCATCACACGTAACCTCAGCATCTAGCCCCACAAAAGAATCGGTAACTCAAATTAAACATTTTGTTTTCTGTACAGCAGCATCTAGGGAGAATTAGGCATCTCCACACAGGAATAATGACAGCACAGACTAGCACTGTAACTAACTAATGAAGAAATGCCAAACAATGCAGTTTCTGAAGCCATGTTTCTTTTCAGGATTAAGATAACTATCTGAAGGCCGCAAGCAGGGATTCAAAGGAATGGGATTAATAGTGCTAGATCTCCACCAAGACTGAGGTGTTCAAGTTAATCAGTTTTAGGAAGAGAAAAATTGTGGTGCCCACCTTTTACACACTAGCCTAGAATTAAAAAAAAAGAACCCAACAAACAACTAGATTATGTTTTTTCTATCGTTTCTCTCCATTCTGATGAAAACACTTCACCCATCAGTGAAACTGTGGATTTTTGGAGTTGGACTAATATACTGCCAAAGTGCTCATCCGGGGAAGCAGATTTTGGCAGGTACAACCACTGAAGTTCCAGCACCTACAATAATTTACAGGCAAGACAATTGAAGTGTTCAGAAAATTAATTATTCTAAATTGCAGTTTGAGTTTGGGGCTCGGCTACCTAATTTCCTAAGTCCCGCTTTAGGCACTTCAGTATTTCTGAAGATCTGCACCAGGATCCCTAAAAAAAGACTCCCAAACAGTTCCAAGGATCACATCTCCCTGCAAAGGCTGTAAAGTGTTTGCATTTGGAAACTACATTTTATTACAGTATAGTAGAGCCCCAGATATGCTAGACGCTCTGCCCTCTGCTCCCAGTTTGAAAGCCCCACCCAGAAGGAGAGTGGCAACAGGCTGTTATCAAAGTCTGGTCTGGCATATATTGATTCTATTTCTTCTAAATGTATTTTCTTCCCTTGACACTAATTAATTCTGGCAGATTAGTTACTTCACTCAATTTGACAGCACTGCAAAATTGACGGGATGGATGCAACTGAAAGTGCTGAAAGGGAACTAATTGAAAACAATACATCTCTTAAAAAAAGTAATCTACGAAATTCTATTGCACTGGGAATCTGTTTTCTACAGCATATTTCTCAGACAGTAGTAAGTAAAAACCAATGAATTAAATTAGCATCAGCAAAATAAAATAATCTAAGACAAACCTGGTTCTGATAATGGGTTCTTTATCATCATATTCCCCAGATAGTATTCTTGGATGTTAATTTTCTATAATCAAAAGAAGTGAAAACAAATTTCAGTTACCATTTTCCATACTTTTTCAAGTGTAGAGGAAATCAAGTCTTCTGGAGGAGTTAAACATGAATATGCCAATGGAAAATGGGGTGGAGACTACTAAATTGCAAGATGCCTACCTGTCCTGTTTCCTTCTCCTCATGATATTGACGGATGTGTTTTCCATGGCAGACCTCATAAGTCCAGTAAGATTCAATCTTAAAAAAAAACACAAAAAAACCACACATATGTATATATATAAATTTTAAAATTCTGTTTAGATATATTACCTCCCTCAAAAAAAAAATTCCCTCAGAATTTTTACTTTTTCAGCAATGAAACGCAGCCCAAGAAGGTGGGCTTAGGCACCCTCAGAAACAATAGTGCTGTGAACGGTCTCAGTGTTCCCCAAGCATTTTGATGATGTTCCAAATAAACATGACAGGCAGAGTTTCCTTAAATTTCACACTGATAAAATAAACGAAAGAATTTAAAGAAGATGTAGAGACTAAACTTGTCCCAAAATCACTGGGACTAAGCTGTAGTGACTCAGCATAGAGAATTTTATCAGCAATATTAATATAGTCATAAAGTTGTAGAGAACTTATTCTGGATTGAATTAGATCCTGAAGTCTGAGACATATCTATCCAAAATGTTTACTACACTAAACCTTGAAATGGACAGGATTGTAAACATTTGATCAGCATTTAAATTATCAATATGGAAGTAACATACTCGATATGAACAGCTACTTTGCTTAAAAAGAGGTTCCAGCAATTCTCCTGGAGTAGGACCTTTATAGTCCTTTTCTTCTTCCTAGAATAGAAGGATATTTCATTACATTAAAAGAAAAACCAGTTTGGTTAGTTAATATTTATTTGCAATAGCTACAAAAAAAAAAATCCTACTGAAAATTAAAACATACAAAACCTCATTAATTCCTGCCCTGAAGGAACTGTGTGGTGATTAGGAAAAAAAAAAAAAATTGTTTAGTAAGAAGGGGCAAATAAAAGTCACAAATAAAGTAGTCAAAACAGAAGATTTTAGTGGTTTAAAAAAATACACGTGACAAAAGAGTAGGAGCTCTCAACTTGCTTATGTCCAGAGTGGGAACTTAGGGTGTGAACAGAAAAACAGCCCCAACAACCCTTCCATTTGTTAGTCAATGCTGATGCCGTACTAATGCATTATATTGGAACATGACCCAGCTTTTATGTAATTTAAAAAAGAAATGGACTGAAAAGGCATACGTACTACTATGGAAGTTTATTTCTGCGTAATTTTTGCTCTACAAATGTGCGTGCTATTGAAGAGATTTCCACCGCACAGTTCTTCAGTACTAAAGATTTCTCACCTACACTGAAGCACTTTGTACTGTCAATCACCTATACGATGAGGGCTAAGTCAAAATGGATGGGACCTCCATTTTTTCTGGTAGGGAATACCACAGGAGTACAGCTTGTCTGTGCAAGTTCTCATGGTGTGAAAAAAAATTAAATACTGGAGGAACAGATGACCAATGATAAACCTCACCAGAGGCCTCCTCAATCTACCGTTTCTTGTACAAACATATGTATTTATATATTTATTTTTTTTAAATTTAAACCCCAGATTGTGCATTCAGACTTCCATTTGATGAAGTGATGACAGAGAATAAAAATTTCTGGTGGCAGAAGTGCTACTGGGATAGCATTTTCAGATACAGCAATCATGACAGCAGTGTTAACAACCTTTATAGTTGTTTACTGGCCTAGAATTTGACAGTGTTACTTAAAATATAAGAATTTTCCAATCAGTGACAGACCTAGCAATAAACAGAACATTATAGTTATAGTTTTTTACCAAATAAGGCCTTCAAGATTGTTCAGACTGGCCCCGCTTAGTGTGGAGCTAGTATGTAATACAAAGGGAAGGCATCTGCCGTAAACTCTAGATTATTTTCCTTTTACAGGAAAAAATAAAAGTCTTTATTTTTTGGGGAAAAAAAGGAACTGAAAAGACACTGTAAAAACTTGTCTACAGTTATACCTACAAAAAAGACTTGACTGAACTTACCTCACTGCCACTTGCTATCAGCGGAAGTATACATTTATATTTCTCTTTATCCACTGTCGTCATTATAATGTAGTTATCTTCTTTGTACAGGACACCAGCTGTAGGCTATGAAAACAGCCAACCTACAGATTAGTCAGGTGTTTCTTTTTAATGCTATCTGTTAGAAATATTCCTGAATTCATGAGAAGCACAGTTAATTTATAGGGCAGGCAGTCCAGAGCATATCCTGGATCTTAATTATATCACCAGACTGGGCTTTGGCACTCAGGCCTGCAGTGGCCCACTAGCATTCACTTGCCTTCTCCTTTGGTTTGATCCTTCTACCTCCGGCCACATTCCT